ATTATTATTATTATTATTAACTTAATAACTGAGTTTGGAGCTGTGTGTGTGTTTGTGTGTATGGGAGACACATTGGCAAATCAAAAAGTGCACTTGCACATATCAGGTAGAATACCTGTGGACTTTAATGCTAGAAAATACTGTATTATTAGTAAAATGTATATTTTTTTTGTATAAAAACAGATAGATAAGCAGACTATTTATATGTACATGTCTGGAGGGGATATTTAATAAATAATAATCATATTAAATAAGTAAAGTTTCAGAGCAGTGCTGTAATCAAAGTCAGAGAAGGTCAGACACAAACACAAACTCCAACAGCGTCGACCATAAATCACCACAGGAAACTGCTTCACCTTCACCATGTCTTCAACCTGCACTTCTCTTCCTGTTCTCCTTTCACCTCTCTGTTTCTATCACTCTCTTTCATCTCATCCCGTCAGGTGCTCTCTCTCCTCAGTCACTGCACCTCCTCTCTCCTCTGTCTGTCAAACGGTATAAACCACTCCTTCTTTTAATCTCCTCATCGTGCCACACTGCAGCTCTCTCTCCTTCCTCTGTTAATCGTTTCATTCCTGGTTACGCTGACAGACTGCAGACAGGCTCCATTTCCCCTCAAGATCGTCTCCTCTCACATTTACCCTCAAACTTTCCTTTAGGTCTCTTCTAAAGAAATCAAAAAGAAAAGCTGAGAAAAACCCTCATCAGCCATGTCTTCTTGATTAACATGATAGTAATGACACCTCCGCGGGCTCCAGACATGATTTACTGTTACATGTTTTAGTTTTAGTCTCTTGATAACGACATTAGTTTTATTAACACTTTAATTGTTTGATCTTCTTTTCTTTTGCTCTGGCTAATTGTTGTGGTGGTTATTTCCAACTTGGATATTGGAGAAATAATCCCCTTGTTTTCCAGCACTGGCACTAGCTGCACACAAATACCCATCATGCAGCAGCACGGACAGTAAGTGGCTGTTCAGAAGAGGGATACACTGAGCTGCAATAAGGAGGTGCTTATCTCTGTAGCTTTCTTTGTTTCCCTGGCACAAAAGGGCGAATAAATAACAACAAAAAAGCATCGGTATCAGTCAAATTGTTATTGTAAACATTGGTATCGGTGCATCGCTATTATTGCACACGGACATTCAGCTTACTTTATAGTTTGCAAAGATATGCTGTTGTTGTGGTGCTCCGGGAGACCGTCTCGTCTTCTGATAACTTTAGCAACAGTTTGCAAACCCACAACAGAGCTGATGTTATATGACTTGCTGTGTCGTTGTTCGCACTGGTATTGGAATTCCAGAATCGCTTACCTCCACCTTTAAATGTATTAGATTAATGTGAAAACATTATGCTACCACAGCCTCCACTGAATATGACGTCAGTGGGATACGTCACTCTTGATGTACGATGTAAGGAGTGACTGAAGGGAAACACTGATTATCAACATAAATATCTAGAACCTCACAGCGACTTTCTGGTAGTTTCTCCTTACAAAGATTATTATTAGCAGCAACGTCCGAAATTGTTTTCGGTGTTATTCATTCTTTTGATTTAAGGTCGACTGTTCCAGTCTCGGGCAGTAAATGTACAGAAACTATTATCTCAGTTGGAGTGTGTGTTGAAAGCAGCAGTCTTACCGTTGTGGTGGAGGAGCTGTAGGCATCTGTGTTTTTATCTGCAGGAAAAAAAACACAATCAGAAAAAAACGAGGAAGAACGAGATAATGTGTGTGTGTGTGTGTGTGTGTGACTCTTAACCGTCTTTGCTTATGCCTGATGCTGTGAAGCTGTTCTGTAGTTTAGTTCTTTTTTGCTGTTTTGTTTTTTTGCTTTGTTTGTTGTTTCTGGTGTTTGTTGTAATGTTGTCTGCTGTTACTCTATTGAATCATAATTCACACTGTTTTTATTTTTGTTTGTGTTTACTGTAATGAATGTGCCTTACATCATGATTATTGTTGTAACCCTGTTTCTTGGTTTTACACTGTTTTATTTCAGGCTGCCAATGTTTACACCTGCCCGGGGACTGCAGATGGAGCCTTTTGGAAAATTCTGATATATTTAAAACAACGTTTATTAATATGCACTGTCCCTGAGAAATAAATAAATAAACTATTGTGTGTGTGTGTGTACCTGTGAAGCTCATGTATTTCTGGCTGTTGGTTGTTTCTTTTGAGTCGTAGAACTTTAAAACGTCGAGGACGGCCTGAGGATTCTTCTTCTGCTCCAGCTTGGTGATGTTGGACGTCTGCAGGAGCCGGGCCCACTGCTCCGGCATGCCCTACACACACACACACAAACACACAAACACACACACACACACAAATAGTTTTACTTCTTTCACATAACTGGGTCACATCTCCTTGTTTTCCAGCTCTCTTTCGACTCGTCTGTCTGGGTCAGTCCATCACACACACACACACACACACACACACACACACACACACAGTTCACTCCTCCACTTCCTGCTCCATCACTACATCCTACACTTTATTCAGGTCTTATCTTTCTTAACGTTAACCCATCACATTGTACATGCGGCCAATGTCTCTATACACTGCTCTACTGTCGCCTACTCGCTGAATTATATTTAGCTTTTGTTGATTTGAGTAAAAATGACTAATGTTTATGTACATATAGATGTGTGTGCGCAGGAACTATGTCCCAGATTACAGAAAAAGGAGGAGTAGCACGCGCACACACACACACACACACACAAACACATATACACACACACACGGTTTAACTCCCAGCTAAAAAAGCTTGGTCAGGCGGATCAAGTGAGTCAGCTAAACAAGGCGTCTTTGTCTAATGTGATTATTTAAAAAGGCTCATTTGCCAAGTATGCGTGTGTATATCAAACACACATAGACACACATTTAGGTACACACTTGCACGCAATAATGAACATGGGTCCTTTGGTAAGCAATTAAAAAGTGATGTAAACACACCAGATGCACAAACGCACACCACAGAAGCATAATGCGGCTGTGTTTGGCACATTTAGGAGTGTTAGTACACACAGGGAAACAAACACACAACACCACACACACACAAACTTACAGTAAACTCCCCGGTAACAGCGTCAAAGCCGACATGGATGGTGTGTTCAAAATCAGACGGCAGAGAAATCTCTGGACGCTCCTTCTTTTTATAGGCTGAAAGAAAAAACGATTTTAAATCATTTCAGATTGTCTGAAACACAAACAGTCAGAAACATGATGGTCTGTTTATAAGCCAAATGTATACATTTCCAGATATTCATCTGTGTCCTTATATATTTAATTTAATTAATTTTTAGTTAATTTGACAGAGACAGACACAGTAAACATAGACAGACTGACACAGCTATCTGAAACTGGTGAAATATGGTGGTTCAACATGGCGGACTCCATGGAAGGTGACCCACGGCGTCTGTAGATATATATACAGCTCATTCTAAGGTAGTGAAAACACAACGATTCTTATATTTAGGTCATTATACACTAATGAAGAAACCAACCTGTAAATATTATATTCCTACCAACAGATCCTCCTAAATGTTACACACTGGACCTTTAAAGACATTACATATAAAAACTATACATGAGCTGTTGCAACGACTGCACTCTTTCAAAACTTGGTAAATTTTTGTATGAATCTGTATTTTTCTAGCCAAATTGTTGAAATTGACTGGATTCAGAAGATTTTGACGGCGCGTTCAGATGCTGCTTCTGGAAGGCTAGCTCCTTCACACCTCTGTTTTTGGCTTTATTGCTGACACACGTTTTACCTAAGACAGAAATAGCCTGCATTCATCGGAAAAAGAAGCGTGGAGTTTGGATTAAAGAGCGGTGGACTTTGAGGATGATCCACCCAGCCAGATCGACCGGACGGGACCAGCCCGCCAACAGCGGGTGCTGTCGCTCCAGGAGGACAGGAAGAGAGCCGGATAGGAGCCATGCTGGCCCAGCTTAAGGCTTCTCCTGGCTAAAATCCGGTTTTGGCACTTAGACTGGCCAAGCAATGGGAAATCAGAGACTGTTGTGCCCACATCTTTACAGAGACCTCAACAGTGGACAGGCGGACCGTTTTCGGAGCTGAAAGACGCAGGATGAGAGGAGGCGGACTCAGTGTTTATATCGATGATGCTTGGGGCTCAAACACAATCAAACTGGATGGACTCTGTTTCTCTTTATGTGAAGATGAAACCATATTATCATCACTATCTTGTTGCTGAAGACGCAAATTATATCCTGGGTGTATACGTGTATATATATATATATATATATATATGTATATAAATGTATATATTGTTATATAATCATTATTATGTTATTCTATTTCATCTTTCATCTTTTATATTATTTTATGAATTTGAATGAATCTTTTTCTATGTGGGCAGCATGAAGGAACTGCAAACATTTAATTTAATGTAATCACCGTTATACAACACAAGGCTGCACAACAATGAATTCATTTCCTTGATTCCTTGAACTGACCAAGACTTGGTAACTATCTTAAAAGTATTTAGGTAACAAGTTCCAGGACTTTGCTCCACTCACAGAAAAAGCAGTTTGAGCAAAATAAGTTTTACAGAATGGAACTTGAAGCTGCTGAAACCTTAAAGACGGAGGATTAACCAGTAATTAATTTCCCTTTAGAATAAAGGTTTATGATAGTGATGAGCGACTACACCTTCTGCATTGTTAATTTGAGCCTGAAATTTATATTTATTAGTAATGATTACAAGTACAGATATTGACACTCATAAAAAGTCCTTTTTTTGTATTGGACACCCTTGTTTATGATTGAAATAGAACATAAAAAGACCTAAAGAGTCCTAATTTGGCTCTCAAAGGCAGATATGCCAGCTGTACCAATGCAATAATTAATGCAAAATCTCTTTTAAAAACCCCTTGAAGAGGAGCTACAAATAGATCCGGGTTCATTAAAATTCCTGGAAAGGTCTTAAATCCAGAGAGAAACCGGGAAGGGAAAGAGGAAGAAATACAGAAGCAGACAGAGCAAGCTCAAGCTTGGAGAAAGAGGAGAAATATGGAGAGACAAATACAGAAAAAGAAAGAGACAGAAAGACAACGAGACGCCATATGTTGGAGGTGATTCTCCACTGAGAACAGCACAAATCCCCCTGGGATGACTAACAATGATGCAGGACCACCAGCCTCCTGCAACGCATCATGGGTAATCTGTCCCTGTCATAGAGGTAATTTGTCAACAAAAACAGGTTTGTGTTTGTTCCTCCACAAACATACTGAATCTCATTTAGG